CTAGTCTCCAAGTAAAGACTGGATCCCATACAGGACACGAGTGAAAGGCACAGCTGGGAAAACATAGGACAGGTTTCAGTGTGGACTCCGTGGATCACACAATGATAACACCAGAACTTCAAGTCAGAGTATGTTTTTCCTTTGCTCAAAAACTCGCCTATAATTCTCACTTTATTTCAACTAAAATATTAAAAGTCCATATTATTCAGTCCCATTATTTAGTCAGCCCTTCAACTGCCAATGTCTAGTATTCTCTTAACTTGGTCCTTTTTTTCTGGAGCCATAGAACTTGTAATGTGGGACCCATTTCCTCAGCAAGGAGCTCTTTTCTCCTAGGTGGCTTTAGGGTTCATCCCTTCCTTCAGGCTGTCTCCATCAGACAGGCCTGTCTTTGTTTCTCTGTCATGGTCCTTCCCCACTTGTGCTGCTCCCCAGTACCGCACACTACTTTGGAAGTACAAATTTAGGATATCTATAGGTTTCCTTGTTGAATCTTGCCTTTTATTTATTTCACTATAGAATTGTGATTGGATATGGGAAATGCCATCACAGATCTAACACTTCATTGTGATGAGTATTTTAAGCTCAAGGAGTTGAGAAAACAGCCAAAGCAGGGGGATCGCTCTAGCCTTTGTCATCCCTCTTTATTCTGCCTTTCTCCTCTGAGGTCAGTAAAAGAATCTCCCGACCTATCTCACCTAAAGTACCCTCCTATGCTAGGTATTCTGCAGACACAAGAACAAAGGGAAATAGGAACAAATAGGCTGGGTTACTTTGCATTGCTATGATTAAGTAACTGACATGTACGACTTACACGAAAAAGTTTATCTTGGTTCATTGTTTCAGGGGAGTTTCCGTCTTTTATGGCAGGGAAGAGATTGAGGACTTTATGGCAGTGGGGGTGTGTGGCAGACTCCTCACATGGCAGTAGACAAGAAGTAGAGACAGCATGCTGAAAGTGGGCGGGCACAGACTTCAGATGCCCACCCCTCATCACCATATACACCAATCAGGCCCCACCTCTGAAAAACTCCGCAGCATTAAAGTTGTGCCAGTTTGAGACAAACACTAAAACCAGTAGCCGAGGGCTGTGGAGGCAGCTTAGCAGAATGCTGGCTCACAAGCATGAGGAGATATCTTTGGAACCCATGTACAAAGCTGGACATGGTGGCATCCACCTGGGCAAACAACACCTTGGAGACAGAGACCAAGATGTCCTGGAGTTTCTAGCTTGTCAGTCTAGTGATTGGAAAGCTCCAGGTTCAGAGAGATTGACGAAAACACCAACATCGACATTGGGCTTCCACACATGCACACCTATACCTACAAGCACACCACACATTGTACTAGTTACTCTCCTGGCTACAGCTTTTCTCTGCTGCTTTCCTCCACTGAGGCTTATATTCTGTTTTCCTGGTCTCTTCATACCCAGTGTTTGCATCAAGTGTTATGTATCATCTTGTCATTGCCTTCCTACAAAGAGTTAGACCCTGATAACAAATTTGATGCCTCATAGGAATTTCTAAAAGAAATCTTAATGGAAGCCTTCATGGCCCTGCAGCTCTTGCTTTCTGCCTATGTGCAAAACCACCAGCGTATAGACAATGCCAGCTTCTCTTACTGGTATGAACAGTAGCTGACCCTCCTTGCCCATGGCTGTAGCAGCCTCCAAGTACCTGTATGGCCAAAGAAAGAAAGATACTCTGAGTGTGTGCTTTCCAGCAGGCTCCAGAGCCTGTCTTTTAGGTGCTCTTCTTTCATGTGGGTTTTCAGGGTATGTGTATGATGGGAGGGGTCTTTCCCTCGAAGCATCTTTCCTATTTACCCCGTGAACAGTCTGTAACTTTTCTTTGATGGCATCAATCTTTAAACAGACTCAGTTGCTTCTTCTCTCTTCCATTATCTTTCTTGAGACTGTGTCTCTGCTCTTGCCCCCCCCCAACAACTTGTACATTTCTGAACAGTGTTGCTATTTGCTCTCTGCAGTTCTTAGTGTAAACGTGCATGACAATAGCCAGCAACAAACCATGCTACATCCTAAAATCATGCTGCCTTGAAATTTCCTCTGCCAATAAATGAGTCCATTGCTTTTGCATTTTTCCTCATTCAGATTTTCAGAACATGATAAATTGTTTTCTGAAGTGACTTTTAGTCTGATTCCTAATGGGGTCCTTGTTCTTATCCGACGCTCCCAAGTAAGTACAGTCTGCAGTGCCTTCATTTCCTTTGACAGTCTGACTTTCTGATTTGCTCTGATGGCATTCTCAAACTCAGTTCTTTCTAGGAGAGAGTTCCAACGACTTAAAACATGACATGATCGCGTCATCACAACAACCCTGCTTCTCTGGAACCAGCTTCCTGTGTGACTTTTCCTGTTGCCATACCAGAATACTGGACAGAACAGCTTACTAGATCCAAGTCTTATTTGAATTCACCCATTTAGAGAGTTTAGCCTACCCTAGAATGGACAGCACAGTAGTGGAGCAGCCCTGGCTGGGGGCCAGCAGTGGCAGGCAGGAAGGAGAGAAGGCCTAGCAGAATCTTCAGGGGCCTGCGGGGCATTGGTGTGGCATACACCTTTAATCCCAGCACTCAGGAGGCAGAGGCAGGAGGATCTCTGTGAGTTTGAGGCCAGCCTGGTCTACAGAGAGAGTTCTAGGACAGCCTTCAAAGCAATACAAAGAAACCCTGTCTTGAAAAACAAAATAAAACAAACAAACCAACAAGTATCTTCAAGGGCCTACACCTGTCACTTCTGCCAGCCAGGTCCTACCTGGAAAGTCTCTGCTGCCTACAAGATAGCCCCACAAGTTAGACACTGATTCCTCAAAACATGAGCCTCTCAGAGAGGGCTCATTTTGTTTTTTTGAGACAGTTTCTCTATGTAACAGCTCAAGTTGTCCTGGAACTCACTCTGTAGATCAGGTTGGCCTGGAACACCCAGAGATTCGCCTGCCTCTGCCTCCTGAGTGCTGGGATTAAAGGTGTATGCCACCACCCAGCTGGGACAGGACTTTTTTTCCTGTTGTTTGCCTAGGACAAGTATCTAGTACATAGTTATACTAAAATATTTACTAAATGAATGAAAACTAGAGCATGAAGAGTACAAGGCAAGGAAGGATTTGGTGTGACCTATTATGGTATTTTGTGTTCTAGGCAAGGGATAAAGTTTAGTCAGTTTGTTGCCATTGAAAGAGTTGAACAAGAAAGTGAGAGCAAAACCATGTAGTTTAAAGATTGAATTGGTACTGAGGTGTTAGATTAATTCTTGAAACGCTTCCAAGAGCTGAAGAGCTAGCTCAGATGGTAAGTGCCTGGCACACAAGTACTGAGCCTGAGGTCAGGTCCCAGTGCTCAGATCAAAAGCTGTATGTGGTGTGCACTTGCAATCCCAGCGTTGGGGAAGCAGAGGCAGGAGGCTCCCTGGGTTTCTGGCCGGCTACTCATGGTGAATTCGAGTGTTCCAGATTCAGTGAGAGATCCTATTTCCAAACATAGAGTAGAGAATGAATGAGGATACCCAGCATCCAGCACTCACCACGGTCTTCAGCATGTATGCCCACGGTGCTCATTTCCCTTTCTGGCCACTGCCAAATGTGCCTTTTGGAATAGTTTGACTCCCAAAGAACTGTTAAAGTAGTTAAATGAGCTGCACTAATAATACCCTCCATTACTTCAGTTTCACATATAAGAAGATTACTTTGGTGTCATACTTTAATCCAGGGACAGATCTCAGTCAAATATAATTAGATTCTATATATTCTTTTTTTTTTCCTTTTTGGGGGTGGTGGTGGTGGAGCGTGATTTATGATAACAATAGGTTCAGTTTTGAATGAGTGACCTTATTAAGTACATACTAAACTAAAGTAAAGCAATAAATAGCAAGAGAGAGTCAAACATCATGAAACCATCAGAGTCCTCAGAATATCCACCAGGAAGCAGTGAGTTTGTCTCCATGTCTGATCTGGCTGTGGTAGAGCTTCCTTGTCATACCATGGGTGAACAACAGTGGCTCTGTTGGAAATGGTCACCCTCTAGCTGTTCTCGCTGTTCCCTTCCTGTTGACTTGGAGAGGATAGCCTCTCCCCAGACAAGGGACCTTGGAGGATACCTAGAGACCACCCACTGCTTGTGATTCTAAAAACAAGTGTGCAACTCCATTTCCTACACCTGCATCTCAGTAAGGTCAAACAGCATGCACATTGCAGGTGCACAGTTGAAAATTTTTGTCAAAAATGTTATTTAATGCTTCTACATCATTTAGTGGTTTACTTTTTGGGCAAAGTGTTTAACGCCATTCTTTGTGACCTAATAAGCAAATAGCCTGTTTTTTTTTTTTTTTGCTTTGGTGTTTCTGTGGGCAGGTAAAAGACATTTTTTTTTCTTTTGTACACTAAAGATGCTTTAAAATTGTTTTTCACAAGTTTTAACATGTATCATTTATTAATTTTTAGTTTCTTATCTCATTTAAAGCTAGCATATTACATATTTCTTCCTATTGAGAATTTGTTTATACAGCAATCTGTCATATTTTTGTTTTTGTGATGGCAAAATAATTCTATAAGAACATGAAAGCTTTTTTCCCTTCATCTTCCCAGGCAATCGTTTATTAATAATTTCAAAATTGGCAATGGTGGTAGGTGGAAAGGAGATTATTACTTAATCCTTTAAAGTCCCCTAAAATTTTCTAACTTGTAAATATATTCTGCTAGCCTGATTATTTTAATAAAATTCACTTTGCTAGTTTTTATATGAGGCATACGCAGCTTTAAGTGATTTTCTGGGTCATTTAAAACTGTGCTAAGTTTGAATCCCCCAGTTCAGTTCCTGCAGTCAGGCTGAAATGTTTGCACGCTCTGTGTACTACTGTTTACTGCTGTTGCTGGTACCTAAGGTGCAGTTGGTGATCTTCAGTGCACTCTGGATTAGAAAGCTGTCCTGTGCAGGACAGCAGAAGCACACCGAGGTCTGACTTAATACACTTAGCACATTTCTTGCAGGTTTTGAGCTCTGTTCGCACAGAAGGGAACCCTCTGGATGTTCACTTTGGCACCTCGCAGCCTTACCAGGTGTGCACAGTGGAGTGCTCCATCAGTGTGGACCAGGAGCCCATGGCTGACAGCTGTGTCTATGAATGCGTCCGGAACAAACTCCATTGCATGTCCGTTACCAGAATACCACTAAGAGCGAAGGCCATCAGCTGTTGCAGGAATCCCACTGAAGACAAACTGATTGTGGGCTGTGAAGATTCTTCAGTAATTCTCTATGAAGCTCACCGTGGAGTGACTCTCTTGGCCCAGGCTGAACTTCTGCCCTCATTAATAAGCTGCCACCCAAGTGGTGCCATTCTGCTAGTTGGCAGCAACCAAGGGGAACTGCAAATTTTTGACATTGCTCTATCCCCTATTAACATCCAGCTCTTGGCTGAAGATCGCTTACCCAGTGAGACTCTGCAATTCAATAAATTCTTTGATGTTTCAAGCAGTCTTGTACAAATGCAGTGGATAGCTCCTCCTGTTGTTGCCCAGAAGCCTGAAAGAGGAGAAATCTATGATCTCCTCTTCCTCAGGTTCAACAGAGGACCTGTGGGTGTCCTGTTGTTTAAACTTGGTAAGCCAAGTAGACTCGTAAGTACCTTGTTTATGTTGATGAAATAACCAAGGCATTAAACTATTCTTCAAATATAGGTTTTCTGTTTGTCTTCCCATAATTATGTCCACATTTCAATGATTGCCTATAGGTCCTTGAAAACACTTGTAGGTGGCTTTTCTGTCTAGCAAAGGAATATTAAATATTAGAGACTTTAGAAATTGGGCTAATTGTAAATAATGATGGTTAAAAAGGATGGATTTCCTGAGCTGGAGAGATAGCTCAAGGCTTAAGAGTGTTTTCTTTTAAAGGACCTGGGTCTAGTTCCCAGCACCTCCATGGTGGCTCACAACTTCTTGTAACTCCAGTTACAGGGGATCTGATGCTATCTTCTGGCCTTCCCAAGCACTGCACACACATGGTACACATAAACTCATGTAAGCACACATAAACACACATGCACACACATACCACACACAAAATAAATATTTTTTAAAATCTGAACTTTCACTTCTAATTTTTCTGAAATAATTTCCATAATAGGTAGATAAAAGTTTAAGAAATTAATTGAATTCGTTGTGAAAACCCTGAATTATAGAATGTAATGATGACTGTGTTCCTTCTAATAGTAGAAATGTGATTGACTGTTCATAATGTTGAAATTGTTCGAAAATGTTTGGAATCTCTCTTATAATCAAGTTAGACTTTGTCCAGCTGCATTTTAACAGTTGTATGTCTCCACATACAACACAAATTAAAGTGGATGTTTGATATTTTCCATATCTGTTAAAACATACACAGTCCTCTCTCTCCCTCCCTCCCTTCTTTCCTCCCTCCATCTCCCTCCCTCCCTCCCTCCCCTACCTTTTCTTTCTCTTCTTCCCCTTTAAATTACTCAGCTACCTGTCAACAGAATGCTGTCTGTCTGTGCTTCCACTCTTCCTTGTGAGCCTCCTCACAACAGCTTTGCAAAAAGCACAGTTTTGTCTTCCTGTCTCTAGCACATTTGCCTTCTTACTAAAGTAAACAGGCTCTCAGTGTAGGGATTTAGAGGGCTTCCTGCTAATTGCCAGCTTGTAAACTTAATTGGACTGTCTCCCTGGGCACTGTTCCTAAATCAATTAGGCAATGAGTTGGCTGTCACCTCTTTCCCAAGAAGGTCTCTCGGAATAGAATTATCCAATAGAAGTCAAGTGTTCAGATAGAAAGGTGATAACTTTTGCAACTGACATTTATCTTTTAAATTGTATTTTCATTTAAGTCTACAGGACAAGGAAACTGCAGGCTTCCAGTTTAGCTCTTTGAAAGAGCTAAATGTAGAATATCTAAGGAATTTTTTCTAAGTTTTCTGTCCCATTTTTAATGTATTATGAAATTAATATTTATATCATTTTTCCCTGGGAGGAGTAGATTACTTGAAATAGTAGATTCCAACCAGCATTTTTAAAAAAGAAAACCTAGTTTTAAAGAACAGATTTTTCTTATGATCTGCTACTAAATACATCCAAAAATTAATATACTTCTTGAATCAACACAGAGCTGATTCTGGGCATCCATGTGGCATTTTCATGTATAATTCAAGTTACTGCATATGTAAACAGGTAGTTGCATGTGCAGCTCTCCCGAGAGAGAGCTTTATGAAACTCTTTTTCAGACGTTTCTCATGCAAGCCGCAGGAAAACTTGACATGAGAGGTGTAGCTTACAATTTTAAATTGTAAAGACAAATCATTGATCATGGTTTAAAATAGAATGCTGTCACATGCAAACATGGCATTGGCAGATGCCAATATGCTAACATTTTTGAGGTTTCACTGTAGAACAGGTCAGTTAGTATACTGCTGTAGGAAAATGCTTAAGGATGGATGTCCCATTCTTATTCTTTACAATGGTTACACAAGAATGTTAGGTATGTAAAAGACATCTCTGCTACAAGAGGATTTCCAGATGAGTGTTTTCTTTGAGAAACAGACGTGTCATACTCCCAGCATTACATTCTGTAAACAGTAAGTGGGCTATTCAGAAAGCCTTCTGGCATTATGCTCATCCCATGTCTCCATGTGTGTAGACCGGGGTCAGTTTTGAGAGGCGCCCTGGTCATTATACTGAGATTGGAAAGCTTGTCCAGTCTCCCCACAGCCTGTCCAGCCCTCTGTGCTCTTTGAGTGCTTTCACACCATCAGCCTTTCTCCTAACACAGGCTCTCTCCTGGTAATTAGCACTTCTTTGCATTTACCTGCTTTCCCTTGCCTCCATGCCACTAATTATGTATGTGCCATGTAGGACCAGGCTGCCAGTGCTAGCCCGAGGCTGGCCTTGCCACCACTGTCACTGTGACACCTTTACTTCACTATCATTCCTACATGCCATGAATCTTAGTCCTAAGTCCATAAACGGGCCGGGCCACCTCATAGGAAACAGATCTTCATTGACAAGAGTCTTCGTTTTGCCTCTGAACAAGTGCTCCACCTTCTTCCATTGCCAGTGTCACGAATGTGGCAGTGAACCCTGACTTCCCTGACATCTTTGCTTCTCGCTGCCTCCTCAGCACCATGACTATGGTTTGTGTCTGCAGCACTTTTTAGAACTACTCATGGAAAGGTCTCGCTGATTTCCTTTGCGATAAATGTATTTCCTTTGTTGATGTTGGCTGACTGCATCCATGATCAAAGAACATTTTTTTTTTTATGACACTGAACACAGGGGTTTTTGTCTGTTTGTTTTTTTTCCACTTGTGTTCTGCCTACTCATGAAATGAAATTCTTCAGGAGTATGCTTTTAGTTCTAACCTCATTTTGTTCAGGTTGGAAGTTTCTTTGTAATTCATCTGTGCACTATGGTTTGAATTTCATCTCTGAAAGTCACAGTGATATTTAAATGCTACTGTAACAGTGTAAAGAGTTTTCAAGAACTGATTAGTTCACAAGGAATCTGCTCTCATAAACGCAGTATATTCACTGTATGTGCAATCTCCACTTGTCCTTCTACCATGCTATAAGCTAAATAAGCCCGTACTGTTATAGTCAGTTATAGTGGCATAAAATGGACTCAGCCACTATTCCTATCTCTGACTCTATCCACGACTGCTCCTGATTCCACATCTACACATTTCCCTGATCTGCTGGGAAGGTATACAGCCATTATCCTTTCACCCAAGCCCACTTTTCTTCTTATATTCTCCATCTTAGTAGATATTATAATTATTAGATGGAACCTCCAAATCAAAAGGTTCTCATCCTTCTTGAGAGTTCTTTCACACCTGGTGATAGTGAGCAAATCCAATCAATTGTACCCTGTAAATGCTATCAAAGCAGTATTCCAAAATCCAATCAATTGTACCCTGTATATACCATCAAAACAGTATTCCATCAAGCCTCCTCTATGTTCTCCTCATCAAATAGAGCCCTTCCATCTGTCCTCGTCTGCTTTCCATTAATTACCCCATTAGCTCCCAAAATACTCAAGAGGGATCATTATAAAAGAACAGATTTGGTCATAGATTATCCATCTTGTAATACTCAGTAGTGGATTAATACTGTCAGCTTCTCAGGCTCTGCTCCCCAACCACACCATACCAGTGTAGCTTCTCAACTGAGGCATATGCTCTCTGACTCATTTGCTATGATGTTCATGGTGGTGATGGTGGTGGTAATGATGGTCTAGCTATATGAATGGCCCTACAGTACCCAGTAACCTAAATTAAAGCTAATATATTTTTTCTAATTGAATTTTAAAAATTCCAGATTCTGTGTGTGTGTGTGTGTGTGTGTGTGTGTGTGTGTGTATGTCTGTGTCTGTCTTTCTAAAAAGCAAGAAGTATGTGTGTTCTTTAGAAACTTTGTAATCTTTTCGTTAACTATTATTTTAAAAAATTGAGTTTAATAATTTAATAACTGAGTAACACTGAGTTATCTTAATATTATAACGTACTCAACACATGATGGTAGTTAATTGCTATATAAGATATATCAAATAGTATATTTTTTCTATATATTACATAGAATATTTTGAGGAGAGGGGAGGAAAAACATGGAAGTAGGGATACAAGTAGAAAGGAAAGTGTCAAGAATAAGGGGGGTGAGAGAGGACAGTGGAGAAGAAGAGAGAGTATGTGCATTTTCTTTCACATACATGATATGAAAGCAGAAGGGGGATCAGCTAGGAGGGAGGGGATCAGCAAGGCTGGAGGTAAGGGAGGGCAATGGAGTTGCAAAGACAAATATAGCCCAGTGATATACATGTAAGGAAATCCATTAATTCTGAAAAGGAGAGAAAAGGCATTATATTGGATGTCTCCTCAGCTTTAATGGCTCTTCTCATTTCCAAGTTTATTTGAAATGAACTTTTATTCTATACAGGATCTGCTTCTTTCACTTTAGAAATGTGATGGTTTTATTATCAAATTTATTGAAGTATAATCTGCATAAATAAAATATGCCTATTCAAAATGCTTGTCAGTGAGTTTAATATATACATTCCCATGGTTGCCACTACAAACAAGATAGAGAATATTTCCATCACTCCAAAACATTCTCCTAAAGTCCTTTGTTGTCGATCTACCTTCATCAAAGCTGATCAACACTGCTTTGATTTCTCTCATTGCCAATTAGATTTGCTTTTTATAGAACTGCATAGAAATGTGTCTATATGGTAAATACTCTGTGTCTAGATGTTTCTACAGTCAGTATTAACCTGTAAGAATCTTCCATATTGGTGTGTATGAATGAGTCAGTTTCCCTTCGTGTTACCCTAGAGTCCATTATATAGCTACACCATGACACTTACCATTCTTTCACATGTTGATGGACATTTGGTTTATTTCAAGGTTCAAGCAGAAGCACTACACATGCCCCATCCTTCTATGAACAAGTCTTTATAGGGTTACATCTTCACTGCTGCAGGGAAAAACGTATAAATGGACATTGGCAGGGCCATATGCTACTTAAAAGAAAGATGTGCCGGGTTAGTGCGTTGACAGTAGCAGCTGCTTTATGCCTCTACTAGGACTCGATGGCAATATAGTGCATGGATAGTATTGTTAATATCATTTCCCTGATGACTTTTGCAGTTGAGCATCTTATATTTTCTTTATTATTATTATTTTTTATTATGTTCTTTTTATTTATATTTTACTTTTTAAAAAATTTAACAACTGCTTCTAGTGGAGTTTGAAGATTTGCTTTATTTTTAATTGTGTATGTGTATGGGTATGTGGCCATGTGGGTATGGAACATAGAGTCCAGAAGAGGGTATTTGATCCCCTGTAGTTGAAGTTACAGGTTATTGTGTTGTAGGTACTAGAAACTGAACTCAGGTTCTCTGCAAGAACAGTCAGTATGAGCTCTTAACCACTGAGCCATCTCTCCTGTTCCTCAGGGCTAAATCTCAAGTGATAAATCTCATATTGGTGACTTTTTTATTCAATATTTGGAGATTTACTAGGTATTTCTCTGTTTTTATATCTAATTCCTTTGATGTTAGAGAATCTGATCTAGTCATATGATTTCAAACCTTTGAAATGTACTGTAAGATGTTTTATTCCTCTGAACATGCTTTAGCTTGGTTCATGTTCTATGTGTTCTAAAACAGAATATATGTTCCACTGTTGTTGGGTAAAATGTCTTACGAATATCGGGTTAGTGTTGTAGCTTGTTTGGAATAGGCATGGTTGTGCATATCTGTAATCTTACTATAGGGGAGGTAGAAGCCAGAGGGCCAGAAGTTCAAGATCATCCTCTGCTATATAGTCTGAAGCCAGCCTGAACTACATATGACCTGTATTTAAGAAAGAGAAAGGCAGGCGGGCAGGCAGGCAGGCAGGCAAGGATAATATTTTGCTGATAGTGTTTTCAGGTATGTTTGCAGAGTCTCTGTTTATAGTCCCTTAGTCAGGAAGACACTGGAACCCAGTTATCTACTTAGGCAAGATCTCCCACCTCATTCACTTCTGTCCATTCTTGTTGCAGTATTCTAAACTCTATTATTAGATATATTTCAAGACTTCTATTTCTTCATGAAGTTTGAAGCCTCTATTGTAAGCATTTGGAATTCTAGGTTATTTTTATTTTTATCTTAAGCTTTTTAAAAATGTCTTCCTGTTGTTTTCTAGTTTGCATAATTTCAGATGCAAAGCCTATTATAATTCATTTCTTGCTTCTTTGTATATCCTGTGTCTCCACCACCACCAGTAAAAAAAACATTGTCTTTCCTTTTGAACTATTTGACTGTGATCATCTGTAGCATTTGTTCAGTGCAGCTTCCTTCCCTCTCTATTACTAGTAGAATTGATGCTTCTGATAGAGGTTGGGGAAAAAGACTATTTTCAGTTACTGCAAAGTTGTTACATGTCGACATCTACTGCCAAGAGCTGCTTGATTTATGACTAGGACTTCCAGTGCTTGACATAGTCAGGCTCTTGAGGCTTTGGGTAGTTACATCTGTTGATTCTACCAACTCAAAAGCAATAGTAAAAGTTTTACTGCTTAGGATACTCAGGGCAATTCCCCAGATTCCCTATCAAGTTGAGTCTTGTTAGATACAGCACAAGTAAGTTTGTTTGTTTCTTTTTGTATGACTTGGAGTTAGAATGAAGGCTTTCAGCATCTTTCTCATGAACTAATATATTTTGAGAATAATAAAACCTATAAATATTCCAGTTAAATTCTGATGACAGTAATAAAAAGAATTACAGCAATGTTTTATACTATTTTATAGCTTATAAAATAATTTCACAGACATTTTCTCATTTAGTTTTATGATTATTTGTATTGAGTTTTTATAGACTTAACCTAAATCAATAAAACTGAAGAAAAAAATGATAGTTAGCATTTAATTTTTTCCTTTGGTTTTATAGATACCTACATGTTTGTGTGTATGATTACATGTGTGTGTGCTTGTGGAGGCTAAAGGTCAATTCTGAAGTCTTTCTCACTTGCTTTTCATCTTCCTGGTCTCTCTGAACTCGAATCTCTCCCATTGCACTAGTCTGGCCAGCAAGGCCTCAGGATGCCCTGCCTTCATTTCCTCAGCATTGGGATCACAGGCATTCACTGCTGTGCCTAATTTTTTTACATTGGCTTCTGGAGGCTTGAACTTGGGTCCTAAGCAGTTCATCAGCTGGGCCATCTTCCCAGTCCCATTTTTAAAAGACGAAAAACAAAAAAACAAACAATCAAACAAAGCTGAATAGTGCTAAAAGCCACAATGTTTTCCATTTAACATGTAAAAATGTCAGTTTCAAATGCCATTGTAAAACTAGGTGTCTGCCTGAACTTTTTTTTTGTTTTTTTACTGTACCTGCTCTGTCAAGATTGGAAGTGGATTTATTTCCTTTGGAACTGGCAAACCAATGTGCCTCTGACTTCCCAGTGTATTTTTCCCTTTGTGTAAAAAGTGTGTTTGGTTTTGTTACTTTGCTTTGTATCTTAAAGATTCACCTGGTGTTGCTTGTCTTGTGACAGGTGTCCTGACTGGAGGACAGCTGGGCCTGGTGGACCTCATCTTCCAGTACATCCACTGTGATGAGGTGAATGAGGCAATAAGCGCCCTGAGCAGCATGAACTGGGACACGCTGGGCCAGCAGTGCTTTGTCTGCATGAGCGCCATTGTGAACCATCTCCTTAGGCAAAGGCTCACTCCAGAGAGAGAAGGTCAGACCTGAGTATATCACATCAGCGGTTTTGAGTGTACATTGGAATTCATTTTGAGTCAGTTTTAGGATGTTTGTTAGTTATGTTATTGGAGACTGAAGGATAAAAGTATTAGTGCTGTATGAAAACTTAAAGAGTATTGAAGAATTATTCCCAAATGGTACTTTCTGTGTGGTATTTGTCAACATAGAGGACACCTTTTTGCCACTGCTTAAGTTGAAACTTACAGTGTCATTGTTAGACAGTACAGACAAGTTCATGTGTGGAATATGCTCAGATTTCAAGATTTGATCAGAAATTTCATTTATATTTATTTTTTTTTCTGCTGATGATGGACATCCAACCAAGGTCTTATTCCTCTCTCATATAAAACACCAATATTTTTTTTCTCATTTATAGTTCTCTGTCTAGACAGTGGTTGCTTACACTTTCCTTTGTGTGTGTCAGAGTTATCTGTAGCCTAGGCTACTCTTCCTTGTTTCCATCCTCTGGATTTCCTCATCTTCTTTTAGTAATTAGTCCACAGAAATCCAAGATGTTTATTGTTGAGGTAGAAAACACTGAGGGAACAAATAACACATAAGATATGAAAACAGATTTTTTTAAAATCTCCTAGTTCTCTAGCATGTATCTATGACTTGTTATTCCCTTATATGATATAAAATAAATCAAAGAATTTATTTCATATCTTTGTATTACTAATATTAATATCAAAAAATTATATCTAAATAGTATTACTAAATAATACAGAGTAAGTAAATTAGGGAAGGTCTATTATTGGAGAAGATTTTCTTTCTTAGTATTTTCATTGTGTTTTAATAGATTTTCTTCATTTTTATTACATTCCCAAAATAAATAATAAGTTTTCCAACCCAAAGTAAATAATAAGTTTTCCAATAAAATTTTGTAGTTGACCAGTAACCTCGTGAATCTCTAGGACCTTGATCTAAATCCCAGAATATCCTAATAATATGTGCTTAAGAATCAGCTGAACTTTTTGAAAGTAGTCAAAACTCATCTATGGAAAGGTCAATGTGTATATTTAAAAAAATGCCTACCACAGTGCATGACTCACTGTTGGTATTCAAGAAATATATGTTAAAAATTAAAAGTATACCCAAAGATTTTAGGGGATAAAGAGTTACTATAATTTTGTTTACAGAGTTATCTCAAGTAATTATTATTCTAATATCAACACCTTCTCAAGATTGAGTATGTACTTAAAAGTAACACAAAAACAAAAGAGCAGAGTCTCCCAAATCTTGAGTGATATCCATGCTCTGTGCAATAAATCCTGAGTTATTCTTTAGGTGTATGCTAAAGAAGAAATAATGAGTGATAAAATATTGAGTTTCACTCAAGACACTGAGAAGTTGCTAACACCTTAGTGACTTTATGTTATTAAATTGCCAGGTTGTAAGAAAGATTATAAAGAAATACACAAATGGGCATTGTCAGATTCCTATCCTAATAAGGGATAACCCCCCCCCACAGAATCATATTGGAGAGATAGAGAAATAAAAAGCTTTCATGATATTGGGCTATTAAAACAAAATCTATACATATCCTGGTTTATCTGAGTATGTATATGCTAAGTAGATATGAACATTTCCTCTCAGGTAACTACAAAACACATTTCTAAAACATTCAGAATTCCCTGTTGAGATTTATTTTATCTGAATCTAACAAATTTGACATGGTAATTCATTGTCCTTTTATTAGTGAAACCTAGTGTGCTGTTATTTCTATCCGTGTTGTGTCTGTCTTTGAGATCTTCATTTCTTCCTTAAACATCAAGCTGGGTGGCCTAATGAATCCGTAGCTGTGCTGGGAGTTACTCATATTCCATGAAGGCTTGAACATTTCAGATGTATGGAACATGCTGTCAGGAAAACAAGCAATGGCAAGACAGTCTGGCTTGTTTTCACAGCAACAGTGCTATGTTCAATTTTAATCTAAATTGACTGCTGCTTTGAAAGAAAATACCTCCAAAATGCATCCTATTTTACTGTCTAGATTTGAGGCTGAAAAAAATAAAGACATTACTGAGGCTTAGTCAAGCCATAGCAATTACTCTGACAGGGTATTTATTACTTGGAAATCTAAATAGGCTAAAAGAGTTTTGCTAAATAATGAGTTGTTTATTCAATCTGGTGTTGGAAGCATAAATATCAGAGGAATCTAACTGTGAACTGTAGTATACTCATACATACTCATGTTCTCCCCATATGCTAATTACTTACAGGTATTTCTGGGCAGTACAGTCCCACTGGCATATTGTGGTAAAACTGAAGTAGACAGGCCGCTCCTTATCCCCTAGTCTCTTATGCTCGAGCTTCTCCCATTTACCAAAAACATCTTTCCAGTCTTCTCCTATCTCAGGGTGTTTGCTTTCGTGAAAGGATGAAACACAAAACCTGTATATGGCCAATTTAGGCACTAGATACAGATTTTTATTGTTCTCCTAAAATTGCATCACAGACATATCTTACTTCAATATGCAAGTTTTTATTTGTATTATTTAACTTTAAAAAGTATATATATATATATATATATATATATATATATGTACACACATACATACATACATGTAAGTGTACATATTTGTTTCCTGTGTGTGTGTGTGTGTGTGTGTGCATGTGCGCATGCGTGCACACACACACATTAGCCATGGTGTATGTTTGGAGGTCAGATAACTTATAGGACTTATTTCTCTCCTCTACCATATGGGTCCTGGGGATTGAACTCAAGTCATCAGGCTTGGCAGCAAATGTCTTTACCTGCTGAGCTGTCTTACTAGCCCCTTATTGGTATTTTTTAAGAAAACATTTCTACTGTGCTAATTTCATTTCCCTGTTCAAAAAGTTAGCTTTTTCCTTTCCACTAAGGGGAACACATAATGTTGAGCACACTGCAAATTGATTTTACTGGAAATACTAGTTCAAACCGCATTACTTTGATGAGTCACTGTTGTAATTACCCATTTGTGGTGAGAGTCGGTTCATTATGGATTTCTTCAGCTGTGGCAGCTTTTTGTTGCTCAGAGTCATTGTCAGCTTTGTCTCAAGTGACAGTTTATACACAGGTTTGTTTTTGTATCAGCTGTCATATTTTAATTTCATCTTTCCTGCAACAAGCTCACATTTCATCCAAGTTTGCAGGACCTGACCAACTGCAAACATGAATATTCTATTGTAATTGAAAGTCTCTCTTTTAATGCTTCTATGTTTGAATTCCACAGCACAACTTGAGGCAAGCCTTGGAACCTTCTATGCTCCAACAAGACCACTCCTGGATGCCACTGTCTTGGAGTACAGGGACCAGGTCAGCAAGTATGCCAGGAGATTCTTCCACCTCTTGCTCAGGTGCGTGATGTCATGAGCTGCCTGGGCAAGTCACACCACATATAAAGAGCTGTCTTCCACGAGACACCTTCAGAATATGGCCATTTTCTGACAGCTTTTCTCTTTAAATGAAAAAGAAATTTTATTAGTCTTCATTTAATTTGTTATTATTTTCCTTTTTAGAAAATAGTGATTATTAATCTAGGGCCTTTACATCATCAGTAATACATCTGTCCTTTAATATGATAGTAAAATCTATGTAGAAAAGTTAGCATGAAAAATGGTAACTGAATTTTGTTCCTAGCCCAAACAAATCCTTTGGTTTAAACTGAAGGTAGCATGCGCTATGTGGCTGGGAGGCAGCTTTTGGCTTGCTTTCCTTTCATTGTTACACAGAAAGACTTATCCATTGTCCTTGTATATGATGTGGCAGTTGCCAACTTCACTGTAGTTCATTTTTCTCCTTTACGTACATAAATGTTCTTTCAACCTTAGGGATTATTTGACAGTTTGATAAAAATGTCAAATACTGCTCTGAGAAAGATATTCTAGAAGTTGGAGGACAGACATATATTCACAGAGAAGGATGGCAGGAAGATGAAAATTTGGATAGAAAGATTACAGACTCATAAATGCTATGATAACTACTGTTAAAATCAGGTAAATAGCATGAAAATTAAATTCTGGAATGAAAACAGGTAACTGGGATACTCAAATACATAATCATATTCCATTTCTTAGGATGAATGGTATATACCAGATCTGTTAAAATTCTCTCTTTTAGTTGTATATGTATACTTACTATATTCTGTATATATTTTCTATAGAACAAATTTGAATTCTCTTTACAAAAAGGAAGGAGTGTATGAAATTGATTTTACTAAGAATGTACTTGCTAAAGTGCTGTGTAGTACTTTCAAGGACTTTGATAATATCTTTTTATTTATTTATTTTTACCAGAACAACTTTATAAAGTGCTATCATGTCATGAAGTAATAGCCTCAGGCTTAGAAAATCAGCTTATTTAGATGAATAACAAGTGGCCATAGATCTAGAGCTGGTTCTGCTGCTCTTTACTCTCTCCTAAAGACACTTACCATCCCTGGTTGTTAAGTTTTCAGATACTAGCTTCCTGAATAACTGTGAGTTGTTGTCTGTGCAGGAATAGGCTGACTGACAGATGGTCAAATGTCTCAAATTCCAGGGGACTCAGATTGTTCAAGCTTGAGGAGGTCTACTGTTATACAGACATTTGTGCTCCATAATTAATTTTATCTCTATATAAAGTAGTACTTTGAACTCTGCACAGCAGTGAGGCCTTTAGAAAATCGTATTTTTGGAAGCTAGGAAATGTTAATATTTTGCAAGAGTTATTATCTGTAATTGAATCTTGCCTTTTTATCTGAATGGTGTTAGCACATTTCAAGAGGGTCTTCATCTTAAATGTAGCAGTCTTCATGCATGAGCATATCCTAAAAATATTGGGGTCAAAGTCACATGTACTTGAACTTAGTGCTTTGCTCTTTGCTCTCTTTGCTATTTTGTTTTTCTTGTTTTTAGGGAAAATTGATGAGCTAACTTCTTGCCTAGGAGCTCAAAACAGTAAATATGAATAAGAAGTTTTGAAAGTGTATGCATAGCAGCCTCACTGTGGTTTTGGCCTCTTTAACTTTAAAGCAGTTATTGTAATTTTTTTTAACCTCTGCCCTAGGAATCTCACCTTCTGTGGATGTGAACATTTCTTCCTCTGTGTTGTTTTAAACTGGGTGACTTTTGTTGCTGTCATCAGTATCATATTCAAACTTTTCTGTTTAGTCCTGTGAGATGTTTCTCTTGGGAAATGCTAACTTTTTCATGTTTCTGTTTTTGGATGCTTTCAGTTCCAATGAAATTCCCTAGTTTCTCTTTCAGTAACAGGGTACACAGGGCTTTAAGAAAAGAGGAATGTATGTCAGTAGAAACTGAATGAGATAGCCTAAGTTGGAAACACCCTTTTGTTTAATCTGCTGCTGAGAAGTTTTATCTAGGGGAGATGAAACAGGTCAAATGCCTTCAACAAAAAGTGGGACGTGCTAAGATTGCATGAGTCTCTCTGGTTTGGCTAGTCATTACTTTAATACTCCCTAAAAACTTATTAAAGAATTAAGGTCATCTAGGGGCATTTTACATTGAGGCAGAGGAAAGGAGCCCCAGGGAGACTAGGAAAGCAGCTGAAGTTACTGAGTGGGACTCAGGTGGGATGGTGGGATTCCTGGTGAGAGTGAAATGCTGCTTTTTTTTTTTTTTTTTTTAACTTTGATCCAGCAGACAAAGGCTGGGGTCACAGTCTGACTTTGCACTAATAGACAAGGGTATGTGTGGTTGTTAAAACAAATGTTTGTATACAATTTAGGTTTTGTTCTTGTTGGAGAGCAATTCTCCAAACATCTTTCTGTGTCTCTTGGCTTTGATCCAAGTTCAAACATACTTAAACTGCAATACTTATATCTTTTCTTGAGAACTCTTTGTTTATGCTCAGAATTGCTGAGCATAATGTTCCCAGGTGGCATAGATCATTCAATAAAGCGTTTGCTTTAATAAAATTAAAGAAATAATATTCTATTTGTAAAAATTGTTAAGCCACAGGACACCTACAAAAAATAAACGCAGCTTTGCCTGAAATATGCTTAAAGAATGGTGACTGGCCTTTCCACCTCTATGAGATTGAATAGTCTTCAGAGCACTTAGTGGGAACCATTACCAAGTAAGAGCTTTTCATCATAAACAAATAGAAACTGTCATAGGAACAAGTAAATACTGATTTAATGAAAATGCAAACATTTTACATGAATGTGCTCCACAGCAAGCACTTACTTCATTAATGTAGAAGTTGGATAATGTCTAGAGTTAATGGTTTAGTTTAATTAATTTTCTCTTCAAATCTAAGGCTACTGTTTTCTGATAACAGTGATGCTAATATGATTGTAACATAAAGGCAGGTGCTTTTGAAATGCTTATAAAATAGTAAGCTATTTGAAGAAGAGGACTTCATTGCCTAGAAATAAAAAAATATTAAGTTTTATAGAGGAATGTAAGAATATGCATGTTTTCCCTTACAATTCCACACAAAATTAAAATGAATTGATGTAGATAGGAATAAATAAGGGGCTAGATGTGTGATAATATTCATAAAGTGGTGTTAGAGCATAGATGAGTCATGCATGTTTTGTCAACTTTGTGTATTTGGAAATTTTTGTAATAGAATGTGAGTAGTATATATTGAGTTGGAGTTAATAGCCATACTAATAATTCAGGAAGAAGGGAAAGCCACGCATGGACTGAAACCTGAAATTTTGAGCACCGCCCCCCAATCTTATTTTGTTTCTGTTTTGATATTTATAACAGCAGCAAAAACCAACTGGTCGTCTAGAGGACTTGAGTTCAGTTCTCAGCACGCACATGAGGTGGCTCACATCTACCTTTAATGCCTGGGGATCTGATGCCTTCTTCTGAATCTGTGGGTACATGCACGCATACAGACAGAAACATTCGCGTGTGTGCATAATAAGATAATCCTTTAAAAATGAAAAAAACAAAAACAAAAAACTTTAGCACATGCTACTAAAGGAAAGCCTGAGATGTCTGCCTGTGTTGTTCATCTGCTCCATTTTAATGTCTGAAAACTGCAGCATTAAAATGAAAGCCTGTACATAACTTAAAAAAATAATTAGGGGCTGGAGAGATGACTTGGTGTTTAAGAGTACTTGTTTCTCTTGTATAGGGCCTGGATCCAGTTCCCAGTACCCCCTGGGAATGCCAATTTCTAAACCTGTGGAGAAATCAGCATGCATGTGGTGCATAGACATGCATAAAGGCAAAACACACAGAAAATGTATTCATCTAATTCAGGTTTTAAAACCCCTTAAGCTATTTAACTATTAATGGAGAGACAGTTGGAAGTAAAATTTCTTTTTATTTTTGAGGCTCCTCTGGTCTCTGAGAAGCCACACTCTTTTTACTTCAGGTTCCTTTGAATTTGTAATATCAGACGTAAGTTCTCTGAGCTAAGCTTTGCCTGCTTAGTGAGTTCTAGGTTTCCCAAGTCCATCCATGTGCACAGTTATGGGAATGTCATAGTAAATGGAGAAGGTGGGGTATCGTGAGACACATTCACAGCAGCAGTGTGTGCTGACCCTCACTCATAACCACCATTGCCTGCACGCTGAATGCAACCTGGTTATGAGGAAATGCACTTTTGGCAGTGTTAGGCAACTGGGACCTTAGGTCGTCCAAGGGTACTTCTCTGAATTAAGCCATTGCTAAGCAGATGTTGCCTAATGTTAGCCTGAGGCCATTTTCTCTTAACAAACCTGTAGTCAGAACTTCTTAAAGACATAAAGATGTTGATCTGTGTTTAGTCTTTCCTTTAGGAAGAAATAATTGTTTCCCAAAGGAAGGCAATCCTAAGAAGTGATGAGATTATGGAGATTATGATTTGAGGCCCTAAAGTAGTACTCATGGGTTACAGTAGTAAGGTTTTCTTCGTTGTTTGAAACTTGACATTTATTTTAATTAACAAAGAGTCCTTCTGTGTATTTATAGGGAATAGTGTGAATTGAATCAAGTTAATTAGCATATCTGACATATCATCAATTCATCACTTTCTGTAAAGAGGAGTTTATATTTTAGCAAATTAGAAACATACAATGCACTGTTATCGACTGTGGTTGCCACACAGAACAACAGATTGTGGAAACTGGTACCACCAGTCTAGCAGAAGTGCTATGCCTTTGATGAACATCTTCTCTTCTCTGTGTCTTCCCCTCAGACTCTGTGTTTCTGAGATCGAGTTAGTAGTATTTGACACTGCCCATGCCAGGGAGGACTCACTAGGTCCACACATTCCCCCAGGAATCCTTCCTCCCACAGTAACATGAGGTACCAAATTCAAATTTGTGCTAGTTGGATATTTGTTAATCTTCCTACAGCCCAATTTAAATAGGTATTTCCCCATTTCAAGTCACTGCGTGTCCTTGACCACA